GGTCGCGAGCCGGGCGGGCGTCGTGTGGAAGGCGGGGGTGCCAGATGTCGCGGAGTAGGCTGCGGCTCGCAGCGAGGGCCGTGGTCGGGCAACACTGAATGAGGACACACGTGGGTGGAAGGAGGACAGCCGCTGCCTGAGGACCGGGGGCGCGACAGAGGCAAAAGGACGTAGAGGGGGAGCAGCGCTGCGCATGTACTAACCATAGCACCATTGCAAACATCGCTATACATGGTTCGCAAACACACCCGCCACTGACGTCTATGACGGCGGGCGGCAGTGTGTAGGCTAGGCTACCCGCCGCCATCCGTCCATCTCTGGACATCTTCTGGCCCTTGTCCATAGCCTCGTCGCTCCGGGGTGGAGCGGACTAGTATCAGTGCATGTCAATTCCAACAGTATATGGTGCTGCGTGCTGGTAGCCAGACGTGAACCATCATTTAGGGTGGTCGGTGACCGCGCCATACTCGTCCACGAGCGATTCCGTAGCCCGCAGGGATCCACTTCAACATGTGATGTGTTTGATATGCATGAAGACCTCCTCAACAGTCACCTAGTGGTCGCACGGTGCACTCTCGGGCTCCACGTCTTCCGCGGTAAAGATTCGAGGGAGGGGAGCGCTACCCGTACAGTGACCGTGCGTCCACTAAAGCCTATCAGCCCATCACAGCATAGTCACAATTTTAGCAAGCTTGCAATCCCGACACATGCGTATACGGCGCCAGGCAGCGCGACTCACTAAGCAACTTACGACATACAGATCGTCCTGCCTGCACGGAGACGAGGGAGGAGTGAACTGTGAATTATCGCCAGCCAATCCACGGTGGCAACGACAACCGCAATCGCCGCACTGCACGGTCCATGCGCCAAGGCCTCTGCGGCCCTGCTGCCAGGGCCGGGCGGCGGAAGATAGGCACCGAGGAAGAGGAGGAAGACGAGCCTCTGCAGCCGGTCTTCAACGTCGTGCTATGACGGCAGCGTTCTGCACGCCGGGAGAGTTCAGAATCGCAGAGTTCCACCGCGGTCGGAAGCTGTGAGAGAACTTGGAGCTTATCGAGGACAAGCAATATACCGCACGTCTTCTTTTCGCAGGCAGCGGTGCCTAGATGCGCAGAACCAGCGCAGTGCGTGCACTGTGGCGTGGTCCTAGTCTGAGTCTGCACGGAAAGCGATTATCATCATTACGGCGTAGAGCATACAAAGAAGCGACAGTACAACGTCACCGATCGACGTACTACGTCCACCGGAACTTGGTCCGCATGCAAATACCACCCACTAGACCGAACGCCAGCCCAGGTGCGAGAGCGAGAGATACGAGCCAGCGAGCCGCGGGCCGTGGAGAGACTTGGCACCAAGGCTCTTCACATCTGCTGCATGTACTGCGGCGGCGGCGGCATGCCGCCCTGGGGCATCATCGGAGGTGGCATCATACCAGGCATACCTTGCGGCATGTACCCGGGAGGGGGCGGTGGAGGAACGAATCCACCCTGAGGGTTGTAGACCGGGACGCCTGGTGGAGGTGGAGGCATACCCATGGGTACGCCCTGCGGTGGCGGCATGCCTTGCATGGGCGGTGGTGGCATGGGAGGCATGCCTTGTGGGAGGCCCTGGGGCATGATCGTCTGTTGAGGCGTGAATCCTGCGGGAGGCGGTGGAGCGGCGGCCAGCGCGCCGGCGAATTGGCCTTGGTATGGACCTTGGAACCCAGCCATCGGCGGACGAGCACCGAATGCACCCAACGCACCCATCGGCGCGGGGGGTGGTCGGGCGGCGACAGGCAGCGCGTTGTTCTTCCTGGCTTGCGCCGCAAGCAGTCGCTCGGCAGGGGTACCGTGACGCTCGCCTTTCCCGTCCTTCTTGAATGCGTACTGCACGGTGATCGCCTTGTTCATGAGGAATTGACCATTCATGGACTCGATCGCCGCGTCAGATGACTCGAAGTCGGTGTACGAGACAAAGCCGTAGCCTTTTGATTTGCCCGTCTGCGGGTCGCGCGCGATCTACGAGAGATTGGGGTGACAGAACAGGGAAGGACACATTAGCACAGCGGGCATAGAGGGAAGAGAACCAGGGCTGTGTGGAGCATGAGGCGAGCGGACATACGACGTACCTTGGCTGTGGTGGCCATGATGCCGAATGCGCTGAAGGTATCATATAGCAGCCGTTCATCGACGTTCTCGTCAAGATTCCCGATGAACAAGTTCGCGCCCACATCGAGTTGCTTTTTGTCAGACGACGCCTGGAGAAGCCGAGGGACGCGGTCAGATGAGATGGTTCCGAAGGATGGCGCGGTTAAGGGTGAGGGAAAGATGACATCTGAGCATACAGTGCACCGAGTTATGGCGAAGGAGACGAACCTTGTTCACCCTGATGGGTTTCCCCCATAATTTTATCTGATTCATAATCTTGCAGGCATATTCTGCATCCTCCTCGGTCAAGAACTCACAGAAACCATATCCTTGGTGTGCCATAGATATCCGATCCTTCGGCAAGTGCACATTCACTGCACTTGAGTTCAATAGGACGTTCTAAAACAAGAGAAAGGCGGTACTCACCGACTGGTCCAGCCTGCAACATCAACTCCCATATGAGCGCATCCGTACACCGCTCGTCCAAGTTCCCCTATGAACAGTCAGCATACAGCCGCTCTACCGCGCATATAGTCGGTACAAAAAGCACGAGACTCACGAGGTATACTGTCGCTTCTTGATTTCTGTCATCCTGGGGCCGAGACATGGTGGTGGTCGGAGAGAAAGGCGGGGGCAGCGCGTCGGAGAGGATGCCTGTGACCGTGTGTCACCTTGGGCGTCAGTCCACGCGTCTCTTGTTCCTGCACCAGCACCCCGCCGGCACCGACTCAGATCTTCCTATGTCCCATCTTTGCCGTTCTACTCCTGTATCGTACCTCGCCAGCTAGCCTGATAGACAGGGAAGGAATTGAATACGTTGTCAACAAACAGAATTGACAGCGTCAGCGGTCTCGGGCTTCCCGAGTTCTATCGACCGCTCGATGACGAGCAGAGGGACGAGCAGGCGTTCTGCAGGCACGAGGACGACTTGAGTTCGGCGTGGGGGCTAATGGAAGGAGGACCATGCGTACGTGCGCTCGTTCAATGCCACCGCTCGCTCATCATTGCATGTTAGGGCGATTGGTTGGTTCAGAAGCAGATATACCGGTCCATTACCGTTTGTTCTCCAGCAGACTTCATGGGAACCTCAGCGGTCCATTTACACCGCACAGATAGGGGCGAAGCACCCTGGAATGAGAGTTATGCGCCTCCGACGTATGTCCACAGCGGCAGCGACGGACGTCGACTTGACGCTTGGTTCTTGGCCATTTCTCCCCGTCCGATATCGCAATCATCTTCAACGCCGGCGTAATTGTGAAAGGCGGTGCGTCAAACCTATTGCAGCTCGGCTTGCCTAGTTCAAGACGTGGGACCGAGCGGATAAGGACCACCTTGCTGCTGAGCAGTGAGGGCCATCACCAGTTATCTCTGAAATCGGGTTGCGAGTTTTGATGGCGAGAAAATCTTCGAGTCCGTTGCGGTTGCGCGCGACGAGCGGCCCAATGGCACACCAAATCCGACGCCCCAGTCCCCTAGCCACGCAAAATCCCTTCGTCCCGTCAAATCGCCGGCGGGGGCTGCGCATCGCGCGCACCCCGTTTGTTGCGTTTAGCACCGCGTCATAATTGTGCGCTTGCGCAGATGCCTTGGATGGATCACTGCTACTGCCGATTCCCGAGCATTCTCGGGTGCTCGGGTATATAAAGCTGCCTCTCCACTTCCTCAACTCATCGGGAACCACACTCGGTGCACGCTGTTCTTTGCCTGCCCCTCACCTCACCCGTTCCACGTCTCTTTCTCTTCCTCTGACTTCGCTTTCGGCACCTGTTCTCCTTTGTACTCTCCGACCGACCACCGCGCCGCTTTCGCTCGTTCCACTAGACCAGTAATCACCATGAATTCCCGCTTCATCCTCTTCTTCGTCACGGTCCTGGCGCTCGCGCTCTTCGTCACCGCCAACCCGGTCCCGGCCAACGATGCTACCCTCGTCAAGAAGGCCTTGAAGCAGTACGACGCCCGCGCTGCACAGGCCAAGAAGCGCGACGAGGAGCACCCCAAGCCGTCCAAGTGAGTGTCTGACTTTCCCTGTATCATGGTCACCTCCGGAGCGCCGAACTGACCGTCTCATCCCGATACGCAGGCATTGGCGTGCTGAGGCACGCGAGCCTACTGGGGTTGCGCGCCGTGACGAGCAGTATCCTAAGCCGTCCAAGTAAATGCACAATTTTTGCTGATGCGCCTGCTCCATCGCTGACCACCACGTTCAAACTTGCAGGCACTGGCGTGCTGAGGCCCGTGCGCCCACTGGGGTTGCGCGCCGCGACGAGCAGCACCCTAAGCCGTCCAAGTGAGTGCCAAACACTTCCTGATGCGCCTGGTACACCGCTCATCGCCACATCCAAATCTGCAGGCACTACCGCGCTGAACCGCGCGCGCCCACCGCCCTCGCCTAGACAGATGCATATCATTGCACCCACCTACCTATATAGGTACGTGCGTGCCAGTGCCACTCCCATTCCGCACGCTCTGTACCCGCTTTCCAAGCTCCCGCCGCTCACCGCGCGCCTTCGCAGACATCGTATTCTTGGCCTATGCTTCCCGTCCTGTTGTGTATCCATGTCTCGTTGAGTCGACGACGCCGCCCCTCGCCTCCGTGTTGTGCACCAGAGATGAGTCGAACATGATTGTGACGATATATTCGGAGCACGGACTGCTTTGAGTAGGGCGTGTGGGCGATGGATGGTGCGGCCGGTTCTAGCTGCCTGTCTTGCGCCACATGTTCTTCAGTCCATGTTGCTTCCGCTGTGTAAATAGTACTAGTATCCTGAGCTATCGTATATGGACCTTATAGACATTGTGCCCTCGAGGACTTTCACGTCGAGGGAACAGCAGGGGTATGTATGTATGGCTACGCTCTCACACATCGCATAAGGCGCTATAGTGTAGTGGTTATCACTCGGGATTCTGACTTGTCACATTCCCGAGACCCAGGTTCGATCCCTGGTAGCGCCTGTGTACGATTGTGGCTTTTTTTATTGCCATAATTCTCCTACTATTGACTCCTCCACAGTGTGATATAATACACAGACATCCACCGGAGTTGCTAATCTTACCAATGGCATAGCAGAACGGCCCCCGTTGCCGCGAGACAGAAGTGCATGGAGGAGAGTGTTGTAGGGATGAGCTGCATCGCAGCATTCGAGCCGGGGACGGGCAGGAAGTGCGACGCATCTTCCTTCTGCTGCTCGGCCGATTGCTGTCGGAGACGGACGTGGTGAATCCACGCACTTGACCGGACGAGACACTGGGAGACAGACCTTGAACGCGACAATGCCGATGATGATGCCCGCCGCGAAGAACGCGAAGGCTTGGATGAGCCAGATGACTCCCCAGACTACATGCGTGTGGTTCATTTACCCTGACGGGAATGAAGCACCGGTGTAGATACGTACCTTGGGATGGGCAGCAGCCGCAAATCTCGGCGAACGCGGATGCGTCGGAGCCGTTCACTTTGCGCGAGATTGTGTCGTCTGCGAACATGGGCTTCAGTGAGGACGCGGGCAGCAAGGTGAAGCGGGAGCGGCTTGACGCACCAATGACGTCCCAAAGGACGTACATGTCTGACATGACGCCGATGAACAGAACCTACGCTCGAGCTGAGTGCTGCAGGAGAGACGCTGCATGTGGGTGGGACTCACGAAGTATCGCAGCGCAACGCCGCCCGCGACGAACCAGAAGAGCACGATAAGTCCGGACATCCCGAGAATCAGCAGCCACGTACTGAAACCAAGAGTGTAAATTAGCGAGGAGGGCTCGGTTGTGTGTAGTCAAGACATGCACGCACATCCAGCTCTTCCGCGCCCACCAGAGCGTAAACAGGAAGAATGCGGCCATGGCGAGCGATGCAATCTTGGCCGCGTTGGTATCAAACCCGCATACGATGAGCGCGGCACCAATGAGCGAGGAGCCGAGGTATCCTGCTGGGAGGGTGATCCAGGGTATGCCTCCCGACATCCGAGTCGCGCCGCCTTCGTCGGCTGTACAGGGCCGCACCATGTTCAGCACGCAGCATCGTCGGAAGGAAAAGGCGCGAACAGACTTACGGTCTAGCTCGACGGAGTGTATGTGCGCGCATGTGAGCACTGCTCGTTTGTCAGTCTTGCCCTTGCGCGACGATCGCAGTTCATGCTAGTTCATGAATGACTGCACTCACCGCCCGCAATGGCATGGCTCATCTATGTACGACGCGAGGGCGCATGACATCACACCGATCAGTCTCTTGCTGCGAACTTCGAGCTTAGATAGACAGACGCACCTCATGGAATCCTACAGTCAACAGCCTTCATGAATGGGGTCAGCCTGAGTCTGCTCCCCCGGCTTCGTTCCTCCCACACAGCTCCAACAACGCCATACCTCCCTCGACCCGGACCGCCGACGATCGAAGAAGCGACTCACTTGAATGGGTATACTGTATCAGAACACAAGCACGAGCATGAGGCACCTCAATACGCCTTAACCATCGCGAAGAGTTGTAGCGACTCACGTATGACAGACACATATGGCACGTGCCTGCGCACGCGAACACCAACATTGAACACGATTTCGCACTCTCAGGCAAGGGAAGTACGCACCACAATATGCCAATTGCGACGATGTAGCATGCCGCGACGATGAGCGTTGTACGCTGCGTCGCGTTCGGCGTCAGAGATTCCTTCGCGTCGCGCGCAAAGACTGCGAAGTTGTGTTCGGGGTATCCGTTGACGTAGGGCATGATAACAGGTCGTCAGATAGCGTGCAAAGCAGTAGCAGATAGTATACAACAACAAGCGGAGCGAGAGACGGACGTCGGTAGCAAAGCGCGGACAACTGTGCGCAGCAGGCAGTACGTACACGCTGAAGTTCAACTCTTCCGATGTTCGCTTTGGTGGCGGTTCATGATCAGCTTGGCAGAAGTCTTCGCACACTGGGCACTTGCATGGCGAGGCCTCGAAGACATTATCACACATGCGCAGTCACAAAGGGTTGCGGGATAAATGTGATGATAGCCATAAAAAATCGTAATGTAGACATGATGCAACACGATGCTAGGATACAAGACTAGAGAAGCAGCGATGGTATAGTCGACACACGTCCAGAGCGAACACAGCGGCATGAGTACAGGTATGGAAACAACAGCGGAGATGGGAACAGGAACGACAACCGACGCTCAGAGCTCGTCGTCAGTTATCTCCTCACCGCGCTTCTTCCTCGCCATGCGCTCCTTCTTGAGCTTGCGTGCCTCCGCCGACGTCAACTTCTTCTGCTTCTTAGTCTCGATCTTGTTACCCATCGCATCGTACTGGTCATCCTCCTCTCCTTCCTTCTTGTCGATGCGGGGGCCAGCGCCTTGGCCCTCAACCCAGTTGTGGCCAGACGCCTCGAGGCGGCCGTCGCGCATGGCCCAGACCTCAGTGCACAGGGACTCCGAGAAGTCGCGGTTGTGCGTGATGACGAGCACACCACCCTCGAACTCCTTCAGTGCCTTGATGAGCGCAGCAAGCGACTCACGGTCGAGGTAGTTCGTCGGCTCGTCCAGGCAAATGACGTGAGGGCGGCGCCACGTCGCAGCACCGAGCACGACCTTGACCTTCTGACCACCGGAGAGACCACGCATGGAGTTGTGCGAGACGAACTCAGCCTCGAGACCGAAGTCCGCGAAATGCTTCTCGATCTCCCGACGAACGAGGGGACGGAGAAGACCGAGGCGTTGAGCCTCACGAGTATCAACCTCGAGGACTTTCTGTAAACCAAGGACGTTGTCAGCAACAAGCTACATAACTTCATGAAAACAGAGACGAACCTTCTCGAAACCACGCTTGATGAGGTCGTCACGAGGGAGCCAGAGGTTCTCGGAAGACGACATGTTCTTGAACGACACCTCGTACTCGTAAGACTGCTTGAGCTTCTTACGGCCGACGATCTCGTCAATGATGCGCTTCTGGCCCTCGACGACGACAACTCCGCCATCCTTCATCTTCTGGGCCTCCTCCTCGGTGATCTGACGGCTCTCCTTCATCATCTCCTCGAGATCCTCACCCGTCTGGTAACGCCAGAGCATGTACTCGAGCGGGGTCTTGTCGAGGTGGTTGTCGATGTGGTGGAAGGCATGCTGCGCGACGTAACCGATGACCAGGTTCGGGTGCTTCCAGATCTCACCGCCCTTGTTCGGCTCCATGTCGCCAATGAGAAGCTTGACGAGCGTGGACTTGCCGGAACCGTTGGGGCCAAGGACGGCGACACGGGAGGACAGGGAGACTTGGAGGGAGATGTCGTAGAGCTGCTGGACGGGCTGGGAGGGGTACTGGAAGCCGACCTTGCGCATCTTGAGGAGCGACTTCTCCTTGGTCTTGACACCCTCGAGCAGAGGGGGGTTGGGCAGCTTGAACTGGTAGTCCTCCGCCGCCTCGAGCGTGTAGTAGGAGCGGGCCTCAGGGACGGCCTTCATGAAGGACTCGAGGTTACCGCGGTAACGCTTGAGCTTGAAGCGGTTGAGGTGGAGGACGTCGGTGATGACGTTGTTGAGGAAGCCCGAGTCGTGCGAGACGATGATCGACGTGCACGTCTTGAGGCTCGTCAGGTAGTTCTCGAGCCACGCGACGTTGACGACATCCAAGTGGTTGGTCGGCTCATCGAGGAGCAGGATGTCAGCACGGAAGAGCATCGCACGGGCGAGAGCAAGCTTCATCTTCCAACCACCGGAAAGGCTGCCAATCGCCTGCTTCTGACGCTCATCGGAGAAGCCGACGGAAGCGAGGGTCTCGATGATGTCCTCCTTCGTCGCCTCGATACGCTTGTCGGCGAGGATGAAGTCGAGGACGGAGGTGTCGGCCTCGCTGCCGTCGATGTCGTGCTCGACGTAGAAGGTACGGACCTCGTCGGGGGACGGGAAGCCCTCAACTTGGCTGCGAAATTGAAATCAGCGTCATGAAGGATCAAAGCCACAAGATTAACATACCCGTTGGTGATCGCGCGCATGAGGGTGGACTTTCCGGTACCGTTGCGACCGCAAAGACCGTAGCGGTGGCCGCGCTTGAGACGGAGGCTCGCGGTGTTGAGAAGGATCTTCGCACCGTAGGCGAGCGAGAACTGGCAGTTGCACAGGTCCTCACCCTCCTCCTCGTCCTCGGGAACGTCGTCATCGTCATCGTCAGCGGAAGCCGACTTGACAACCCACTCGTTGACGACGGAGTTGGGGTCAGGCGAGGAGGCGAGGAACGCAAGGTAGGGGATGAACGTCTGCCACTCAGAGACGTCGAAGTTCTTGTCGTTGACCGCGTTCGTCGCGAGGTGAGCGACGTACATGGTCGCGACGTCACCGACGGAGGGGACAGGGTTGGCACCGGCCTTCTTGTAAATGCCGACAAGGGAGTGCGCAAGGTGCTTCTCGTCCGCCTTCTTGAGGGGCGGAAGATCGGAGCCGTCACCCTCGGGAACCTCACCGACCTGACGGAGGGTAGCAATCGCACGAGCGACGACGCCGCGAGCCTCCGGATCGCCCATAGCCGACTCGACCTTGATCAAGCCGGGCAGGAGTTTGGGAATGAAGGGACGGACGGTGACGGGAGAGTCCACGAGCTTCGCCATGTTGTCGATAATGACAGCGACCTTGCGCTTCGTCGCGGTGAGCTTCTCGGAGAGACCGCGGGACAGGAGGGGGACCATGAGTGAGAGGGTGGGGGAGTCTACTTCCGAAACGAATGTCGTCGCCGAGAGAAGGTTGATCGTATTAGGGACCTCCTCGACGGGGTTGATTAGGGCCTTGATGAGGGCAGGAATAAAGCGTTCAATATCCTTGTTCGCGATGAGAGCAGTGACCTTTTCAAGCGAGTCGCGGGCCGCCTTCTTCACGTCCGCCTTCGTGTCCCAGATGGCCTCCGCAAGGACGGGGACAACCTCGGGAGAAAGCTTCGCCATCTGCGCGGGAGCGGAGGCGGTGAGCTGGTTGAGAATGACGAGCGAGCCCGTCTTAAGCT